TGATGCAAACAATAGTGAAATGAACTACGAGTAGAAAAATGTTAGAAAAACATGAATGAGACTTAACTACAAATATGAAACTAAAATACAAATAGCAAAGATTTAAATGACATTTCATAGACTACTTGAATGACGGCATTAGAGAAGACAAAAATAATAGTTAATACTTATAATGAGAAAGTGTTTGGTTGTGGGACGTCGTGACACAAACAGTGGTAGACGTACAGCAAGAATAAGAAAGGAATAGTTCTTAGAAAATGTCGACAAAAACAATGAATAAATGGTTTAAATGAACTCTAAGGAGAAGACATAGAAGTGTCACAAATTATACATTAAATAAGACACCCTTTTGTTCAAATAGAAGTAAAAATAACTATTAATACGAAATAACTATTTAGTGATTCAAATAAGTTTTTCATTTATATACCGGTAATTGATTATATATTTCTTATTTAGTAAGCTTCTAGATATATTGGTAATTAATTTTCTACTAATTGTAAGGATTTTTGTAAATGACAATAAGTTTTTGAAATTTTTAATTTGATTCAAAAATAATTGTAAATATTACGTAAGCAAAAACATTTTTGTAAAATTCATATTTATTTAATATTTAATGCAAATTAAATAACATTTTTAGGTTTAAATATTTAAATGACACAAAAGTAGGTATTTGTTCACAACTTATATACTGGCAAAAAATTCATAATAGTTTAAACACAAAATAAAATTGCATTCATTTGTAATAATCGAGACAACGATTTGATATATTGATAGCCAATCGGAATCTAGTCTTCGATCTCAATCTCTTCGGTTTCAGTTTCAGGCTTTTCGTGGCCTTTCTTTCCGAGCGCCCAATCCGGTCGCGCCTATACACCAAGTCATCGACAAAATTAAAATATTCATATATTAATCCAATTCATATCCATTTATATTGATTAAAACAATTTTCACAGAAATATAAATACAAATACTTTCGGGACTTATTTTACCGAGAAATGTTGGCATTAACATTAAGATATTAATTGTAAAAACTTAAGTCGGGAAACAATTTTCAGGATATTCTGTGAAAATTGTTGTGAAAACATAGCATTCATTCGTGCAAAACATATATAAAATGAATGAAAAATAATGAAATTCTTAAATATATACTTAACTCAAAATTCTTGGAATGGTTTAAACAAAAATTGAAAATATTAAGACAATTTTGAAACATTGAAACACATAAAGCAAATGGTAAAATAAATTTGATAATTTATTTCTTGCTTCAAGAATCTTGAATTAAATGATTGGTAGAAATATAGTATAATATAATTATTATAAGGTTTTGTTTGTCTTATATAATATATTTCAACAAATAATAGATCGACTGAAAGCTTGAAATAAAAATGCAATATTTGAGAGGAATATAGCAGTAAAAGTCAACACAAACAGTGGTTTTTATTATTATTTTCTAAAACGATATAAAGTGCGACAACACGTCGATAGAGAATAACAGTAAATGGCAATCAATTAAGTGAAATGTATGGCCAGAACTCATATAATTATTCAGTGGCGGCAACCTCTGCCTTCTTAGTTGCCCATTCCGGTTGGGTTTTAGTTGTAAGCTATAAACAAATAGTCATATCATATCATCAACACCTCAATCGACATAAAGTCCCTTACAATCACATTCAAAAACACACGACTATAAGGGCGCTTCAAAATAAAAGGTTTAGTTTTTGCAAAATGGGTAACAAAATAATGAAACACAAAAATATCTAAGTCACAAAAAACACAAAATGTAACAAAAACTTAGTTTTCAACAAAAAAGTCAATGGATAGTGAATGTGAAAGATCAGTTTTACTTGTTTCTCATCATCCTGCATCGTGAACTTCTGCGACTGGACTCTCTTCAGATTATTACGGAAGTCCGACTCAGCCTTCGCCGCCACCTTAGCCATCCTCTCCAGTCTAGTCGTTGCAAATAATAGGCACATGTTTTAGACC